GATCCTGAGTAATGTCTTCATGCCACTGCTTTCGAATTCCAGTATTGGATGGTTGAGCTGTTGGCATGGCTCCCAAACTGGCAACATTGGTGCTTTCACTCATCATAGGGCTTCAAAAACAGAGCAAGAATTGAGGGTGAAAGTCTAGCCCAAGCTTAGTCATCTTACAGTCATAGCCTCTTTTAGAATAATGTTAGGACAAAGTGCTAGTTCAGCCATTCCCTAATCAATGGACAAACTCTGCCGAAATAGCTGCACAGACACCAAAACAACACCATGAAAGAGTACATGCTGTCCTACCCAAGGATTCGGAAAACTGTGAACAAAAGCTACAAAATCCAAAAGGGAGAGCGAGCCATTGATGGAATTTACCACACTGTTTATGCAAGAAGTGCCAGGAGATTATAAAGCACAAGAATTGCTTTTACACCTCAGTGAGTAACTTGTCCCTCACTCACACTACAGCTCAACAGCAGGTTTGTGATATGCTACCCTGATCAGTAAATGCACTGGACCTTCAGACCTGCCCATATACTAAAGAAGATAATGCCTCTAACCTCTGCGGCCTAAAAAAGTCAGTTTGCAAGTACTGACAAAGTTAAAATGGACACCAAGACCTCTAGAAAGGTAAGAGCATAGACATCACAACTATCACAACTACAAGGCTTCTTTTCCAACTATCCTTTAGCAGCAAGCATCAGTTACTCCCTCTCCAGTATAAGCATGCAATATCCTTATGTACATGCCCTTTCAATTCATTTGTTATGGGCAATCATCAGCATTTGCAGCTGAACAAAATCACAGGGGTGCAAAGAATAATTCAACTTACTTTTGAGAATTCATGGTTGAATGTAACATTGAGTCAGGCAGTAGATTAGGGGCTTGAACCCCTACACCTCCATTCACTCCCATTGGATTTGCACCTGGAAAACAAAAAAGTATTCTTAAATGAACAGCCCATTTACTGTGCAAAATCAGTAATTGCTCAGCACTAACAAGGGTCTAGCCTTCCAAGTACTTTGACTTTTGTGAGGGGACTTTAATTAATCATTGCTTTCTTTACCCTCTTCATTTTACAAACTTAGAAGTCATCTGAGGCACAACACTGGTGGCTTCCAAGTGAAGCATCACACCACATTACTCTTCTGCACATCTTCCTGAACTTCTCAACAAATAAGGAATTTCTGTTTCAAATGTTATGTACCAGAGTCCTTTTCCGTGACTCCTTAATCAAATATCCAGTGTTACCAACCCTTTCTGGTATTTTTAGAAGTGGTTTGGGGTTGTTGGGGGTTTTTTTTGTCATTCAGGGGTTTAGGATATATATTCAGAAAGGCTTCAAAAATGTAAAACATCAGCTACCACCTATATCTGACAAGGTACCCTCTCACCCACTCCATAATTAAGGACCCTACAACTAACTCCAATGTTTGTACCAAGAAGGAAGTACCTTCCTTTGCAGGAAAAACCTCTAGAAATTTGTTACATACCAAAATCTGCTTTTCTGAATCACAGATCTCAATCACCATAAAAAACCTGCCTATTTTGAGTTAAGACTCAAAACAGTGAAGAAAAATGCAGCATATCTCTGCCTAGAACTTCTGAATAGATCACTTTGTAAAGTTGTGAGAGCAGCATGAAAGCCACTACCAAGCTTCACATGCATTTAGGACATCTGAATCCTACAGAATCTGTATTTCAAGCAAAATTAGACACTGCATACACGACAAATCCACTGAAATTAAGTACAGCAAGTCTAATACCTACCTCTATCACAACCAAGTGTTTAACAGACTTTCCATAAAGCTGCCTCCAGCCTCCCCTCCCTTATTCACTTTCTCCTTCCCGGATTAACTTTGCCAAGCTGATGTAGAAGACAACTGTCAACCTTTGCCTTAACTCTCCCTTTTCAACTGCCATAACCAGCCATTTGTTTCATCTACTTAGGACTGCATCTCTTCACATCACAGCTGTCACCAAATCCTGCTCTTTCTCCTAAACTAGCCCTATTGTCACGTAGGCCACGACCTGATGATTCCTCTCACTTGTTTTAATTCCCCTGTAGACACTCGATCCTAACAATGAAACAACAGCCAAAAGTCTACACTCTCCATGCTTGTCCTTTCCACGTTAAGCTTCAGTTCTTCACTCTCCAAGAGCTTTTCAACCCCATTTCACTGGACTTTCTTATCAGTGCTACAAGGAGTGCCCAGTAAAAATGCACAGGCCAAACTCTTTGTCTATAAATGAATTAAAAAACCTAAAAAACATTTTGCTTCAGAAAAATTGATGATATGTTCCTTTCAACCTTTCAAGACCCTCACTATAACATTTTGGGGCTCCTAGAAGTTCACCTACTTGTAAAACATTCTGATGCACAGTAGAAAATTGTTTTAATGTAATTGTTTTAAGAGTAAGCTCTCAGTACCTTCCCTCCACCTTATTAAAAAAGGCTTTACACACCGGAAAGCAAAGTTTTAGCAGTATACAAGTCACATGCAACCCACGAGGACCACTCATCTCATTAACAAGTCTACTCTATCCCACAGCCTTTTCCTGAGTAACTCAGGAGCAGCATGTTGTTTGGTGCAGAAACAGCACATCAAACTGCATCCTGCAACCAAATGCTACTTTTCTCTGCAATCTCTTGGGTCTTTCCCCACGGCATTCC